TCTTGTTTTTGATGACCTTAACAGTTTTGAGGAGTACTGATCAGGTATTTGTAGAATGTCCCTCAATTAGGATTTCTCTGATGTTTTTCTCATTAGACAGGGATTACGGGTTTTGTGAAGATCACAGAAGTAAAGTGTCATATCAAGGGTACATACTCTCAACATGATTTATGAACTGTTGTGTTGATTTTCATCACCTGGCTAAGATAGTGTTTGTCAGATTTCTCTACTGTAAAGTTAGCACCCCACCCCCCCTTTCATACTGTCCTCTTTGGAAGAAAGTCACTATGCTTAGCCCAAACTTAACGAGTGGGGAGTTACACTTCTCCTCCTTGTGGGTGGAGAATCTACATAAATTATTTGGAATTCTTCTACATGGGAGATTTGTCTAATTTCCCCCATTTATTTATTTGTTCAATCATTTATATAAGTATGGACTCACGAATATTTATTCTGTACTTTGGATTATAATCCGATACTTCTTTATTTGTTGCTCAAATTGTTCCAGCTTTGGCCATTGGCAGTTCTTTTAGTTGACTCTTGTGTCCCTTTTACATACCCCTGTCAATTTGGTAGTGATTGTTTGTTTTTTTGGTTTGTTTTGTTTTTAGCACTTCTTTTACTTTCTGGCACTACAGGATGCCCTGGGCTCTTCCTGTATATTTCCTACCCCAGTCCTAGAATCAGCCATTTCTTCAAGGAACTCTGGTTCCATTTACTGGAGAATGGTGTTAGAAACCAAAATCTGGGTGCTTGGTGTGCTAGTTGCTACAGAGTTATCATTTATTTTAGGCCTTCTCAGCTGACAGAGCAAAGAAATATATGTGTGTATACTAACCCATGTACATACGCATATCTATAAATACTTCTATATGTAACTACCTGTATCTATATTAGACTGAACATGAGTTTGTACTAATGTTCCCAACTCTAATCCATCACCATATGGATCATAGGAGCCTCCTCCCTTTGTTTATCTGTAAATTCCCATTTCAACAGTGAGAAACCTGGCTCCCACCATCTGGTGACCACTTTTAAAACAAGCAAAAGGCTACACTTCCTCCAGCAAAGGAAACTCTGGCAAGAAGGGTGTCATTCACTTACTCACCCATCCATTCCATTCCATAAATACTTGACTGCCAGGGAATAGGGTAGGCCCTCAGTATTCAACTTGGTTACCCCTGCACATCATATGAACCTGACAAATGTTTGCTGAAATATTTTTAAAAAAATTTTTTTATTGTACTTTAGATGAAGGTTTACAGAACAGATAGTTTCTCATTAAACAGTCAGTACACATATTGTTTTATGACATTGGTTAACAACCCCACGACGTCAACATTCTCCCTTCTCGACCTTGGAGGACCTTTTTTTTGGTGAAAATTTACATAGCCAAAGTTACACCATTTCAAAAGTTTCTACATGTACAATTCAGTGACATCGATTACATTCTTCCAGTTGTGCTGATATCTATCCTTTTCCAAATTATTCCATCACCATTATCTTCAACTCGCTGCCCCCTAGGGTTCCCATCAAACCCTTTCAGTTGCTGTTGTTAATTTGATCTCACATAGATAATTCTT